CTGCCTATTTCTGTAATGTGCCAGTCCTTTCCTTCCTCCAGCTTTTGATTCTGTCAGCCAGAGCAAGCAAGAGAGCAAATCAACAGGCTGCCAGGAAACCTAGGTTCAACTCCTACCTCTACCAATGATCTACTGTCTATGCCTGGGTGTGACATTATTTTCTTTTTAATACTTCTTCTGTCTTCTCGAATATGAACAATATTTTTTCTAAGCCTCTAAAGCTTTGTGGGAGCAAGTTTTGCCTTTGTTATGCTTTCATATACAATGAAAACATACTCTCTCTTGGGCTACTATGCACTTCAGACTTATAAACAGAATTAGTTAGACAAGTAATGCACAATAAAGTAGCAAAGCTCAGTTCAAATGGCTCCCAGAACTTCCTTCTTCAGGCTTGCTCAGTCTGCAACCTAAATCTTCTTTTCCTAGAGCCTCCCTTTCTCCTCCAATGTATCTGTGCCACGTAGCGGATCATCAGTTTCTGGAAGTCAGAGCTCAGCAGTCTTTTATCTATGCAGCAATGACAGAAGGCAGGCTAGTGTGGTACTCTTCACTGTCTCAATTTCTCCTATGCCCACATACCCACAGTGGTGAGAAAATGTTGATCAAGACCAGCAGTTACAATTTTGCACTTGCAGCTGTGTTGGCGCTGGTTGTATCTCAAGCTGTCAAGCTTCCAGCAGTCTGGTGTGATGCTTTAGCCCAGACCATTCCTCTGTGTGTATCACCAATGGTATTAACCCGGGGAGCGCAGATTGAAGTTAAAATTGAGAGTGGAGTGCCTTTATGCCTAGTACAGTATATCCATACCGATTAGGTGTGGGTCTGCACGTCCCTGATGAGTTTCTCGCTCAAAGGAATTCTCCAGATGTCTTAGGTTGACAGGTACACTCAAGGTCTAAAGCACCTGAGGGGCCATAGCTTAGAAAGTTATAACCCATCAGCTGAGCCCCCAGTAACTACTCGTGTGAGGGGTCTGAGCCAGCCCTGCCACAGGTGTAGTACAGGCTGATGTACTTTGGCAATCCACATGTGTTAAGACTACAAATATGGGTAGTTAGTTAGTTACTGCAGATCAGATAATGGGTTAATGAAAAAGGTTTTACTCATTTATAGCAACAGAGCTTGTAATAGTGACCCCACCCTTCCTAGTATTTTTTTTTTTGAAATTACTTCCTCCAAGAATAAAGTGTTCCTGAACACACGTCCTCCCAGTAGCCCTGGGAAGGATATGTCCCTATAAAGCAGACAATGATTCACCCTAGTGAAGGCTCATTGTCCTCTACATAGATCTTTCTCAGCCTTAAGAGTGCTTTTAACCAGCTCCCAATAAGACACCAGTTGAGAGTGAGAGCGATTTATACCAATGGGCTTGTGGCTTGATCTCCCCATCCAATCTGCTGAACAATGGCATTTATAACACAAAGTGGGGTAAAGTTCTTTTTAAAATGGAAAATATTTAAAAGTGAAGAAATATTCTGCCTCATTCTCCCTGACAGGTATCTCTTAGGGTTGCACTACAAGAAACTTGCAAGTTCTTCTTAGGAGGCAAATGAGCTTTTAGTCTTGGAAGGACAACGGTACGGAGTGTTCTTTCACTAACTTCAAACTCCTCCATCTGATCTGGTTGTCTTTGCTGCCTGAATATTTAAAGGAGATGAACAGACATAGGGATCAGTTCACCCACACAGGTTTGGCTATCTATTATAGTATGAGATGAACTGAGTTCTGGAACTGCCCGTTTTGCTCTGTGCAGGGAGCCAAGCCTAGCCTGATTGGCTAGGTAAAATCCCATTTTAGGTTAGGAGCAGTTTTGGGGACAGTATTGGGAGCAGGAGTTCTGTGAGGTACAAGACAGTTTGCTCTTGACTCGAGCTTTGGTAGCAGTCAGCTCACAGGATCACAGACTAAATGTCGAGAGAGACCTCATGGAGTTTCTCTGTTTCTTGTGGCATGATTAACTCTAGACGTTGCTTAGAAAATAGAGGCACTGCCAATGGGCTGAACTTCCTGAAAAAGGGACATCTTGAATTAGCGTATTAAGTATGGGCAGCAAAGACTGGCATGCAAGGTCCACCACTTTTTTTGAAGGTGATCTCGATATTTACCAATGGCCAGCACGAGAAACACTACTGGGACGACTTTAGAAGAAAGGACAACACATCACCTACTAAGAAGTGGAGGAACACTGGCATGTATTATTCAGCACTTTCTCAGGCATGTTCTTACTGTAGCCAATGTGAACTAAGAGCCTGATGTTGTCTCTGGGAAGAGATTGGGAAATATCTGTGAGCTTTCTCTCTGTCTAGCCTAGCAGAGATACTTTTCAAGAGTAGATGCTGACAGCTTTGTCTATGTTTGGAGGAACAGACTTTGTCTACACAGCCATGGAAATAGGCTTAAACATGTGAACCTGCATGGTCTCTTTGCTTTCCACCCACAACAGCTATTGCTGGCCTGGTGGCAGTTCAGATTCAAACGTTCTCTTAAGAACAGCGTGGAGGAGTGAAGGTCACAGCTCAGTCCAGGTCTGGCCTAGCAAGAGCGCACACACCCTGAGCAGAATGAAGTGCTCATTACGGCAAGTAGCAACATCTCTACTGAACTCTTTTACACTGCTGTGAGCCACAGAGAGGTGTTTAGGAGGGTACGTATCCAGTCCAGAAGTGATTTCCTCTGCCACTGAAGCTGTCTTGCAGGGGTACCATTCTCCAGGAGGAGAAAGATGTGGCATCCTGGCAATGACACCTGGGTCAGCACTGTGAGCAGGGGCAGAAGAAGCCGAGATAGTCAGACTGTGTTTGCTGCCCATACATCTGCCTGCTTGTCCAAGGAAAAGATACTGAGACAGGTTTAAATATCTGTGCATTTCCAAGCATGGGTTTGGCTTGCATGTGTATGTTTGTGTATGTAGACCACTCTGAATGACCTTAAGGTTTCCTACAACTTAGGAACTGCTGAGCAAAGCCGTTTCAGTGGCCTCAGTCCCTGGAATATCTATGCAGCTGCCAAGGAAAATCAATGGAAACAGCCAAGTGGTGGAGCCAGACTTCTGCTTGAAATGGGTTTTTGCCACCGGGACTGAAGTCTGAAAAATGCTTTAAGTATTGAATGAGTCATGATCTTGATAAAAGATCTGTCTTCATAAGGGGCCACTTTCTCAGAACCTGACTCCATTTCCTCTGGATATTTGTTCTTTAACCAGTCCCTGTGATCAGAAACACTCTGCCTGGGAGCTCTCAGGCATCTTCTGATCTGCTCTGTCCCGTTGGAGGAGGAGCTGTGATCCATAAGACAGTTTGGTCTTTATGTAGCTGGGATGGAACTCATAATTTCCTTTGAAAATATGATTCTGCTTTTCAATTGGCATTGGAAATGGACTGTCCCTGACTTCAAAAGACTGAGAGGATCTCTTATCAAATATCTTCAAAAGCTGTGAAAGGAAGACTGGGAAATGCCAGCCAATTTCCTCTGTTTTTGTAGTAACTTGTTTATATTTTTGGAGTTCTACTCTAGTAAAGCAGTTGGCTTGAATTAATATGCAGAACATTTGGTTTTTGCTGTTCATGTGTATGTGCACTTTATTTGATTCCCAGAGATTGCCTCAGACTTGTTTTCTCCGAAAGGATTGAACTGTTTATTGATCTTTGCTATTGTTCTGCATTAGTGTGCTCGTCTGATGCAGGTTTCATTTCTCCCTTTGCTGCAAATAAGTGCTCAATCAAAACAGAAAACACAGCAAACCCACTTCCTTGTAGTTCCTATTTTGAAGCAATGCACCAGCACTGACTCAGAGCTGAAGAGAAAGCTGAGAATGGTTGTGATGTAACAGGGTGAGTTTTACCTGGAGTGGTGAAGGAGGAAGGGGGAAGCGCATCTCGACTTGTGCCTATGTTGCCTTGCAAGAGACAGGTTCAAGCAATATTGCTCCTCTACATCCCCTTACATTATGTCAGCCTTCAGTTCAAACTGGTTGGCTCATTGCACTTGCAGAGAGGGGAGGATGAGGCTGGTGGAGGAAGAGTCTCTGCACATCCTTCTTGCTTAAGTCTGCACCTCAGAGTGACAGTGGAGATGTCTCTAACTTGGTGGCTCCAATCCCTTCCTTGGTGTTACAACTCTGCTGTGGAGGGTGTCACACAGGGTTGGCTAAGGATAGTCAGGATCAGGTTTTCCAGGGGAGGGAGGGAGGGAGGGAGGGAGGCAGGCAGGAAGGAAGGAAGGCAGGAAGGAAGGAAGGAAGTCAGGAAGGAAGGCAGGAAGGCAGGAAGGCAGGAAGGAAGGAAGGAAGGCAGGAAGGAAGGAAGGAAGGAAACCTCAACCCTCTGGTCCTCTGTTGACAGCACATACTTCTTTCCAAGTCTTGGAGACGAGGTTGTGTTTCTGACATGGCCCTTCTGACCCACAGACCAGCTGCATCTGGGGAAGGCTGAGGGGTAGGAGGCCAGATCTGCCAGACTAACTAAAGGAGAAGAGAAACGCAGCTGGGTAGGACTGGGTACATGATTCTTCATCCCCTCATGGAAGAGAAGTAAACCCTGAAGAGTGCATGTGCTGGAGGCTGGGCTTATCCTCTAGCAGACAGTGGTGGGACACTAAGATATTGGTGTGAGTCTCTGCACAGCAAGACCTGCCAACCACATCAGGCTGTCTAGACACTAAAAGAGCTGAGTAATAAATGAGACAACAAACTAGAAAAATGGGAATAATGAAGGTGTGAAGAGAGCGGAGGCAGTAGTGAGTAAGGAGAGAGGTCCTAGAAATAATTTTGGCAAAACAACTGCTTTTCAGCATGTATGAGTACTCCAGGTCTTCCTGTTCCTGGTGAGGGAGTAGAGGGCTTCTTTCTTCTCTTATCACTGCCCTTCTCCCATATTGTTAGTTCCCGAAGGGATAACTTCTCTAGATTTTCATTATTTATGCTAATTCAGGTTGCTATGTATGGTTACTTCATCAATCACAATTGACTGAGAAGGGTTACTCCCTCTTAGTCTCTTTCTTACCTTTCTGGGTCAGCCACGCTCTGAATGGCATTGCAGTGGTATCAGGCCTGCAGAGTGGTGCAACAAAGTGAAGTAGAAAGGAATGTTTACCACTCCTTAGCATTAGCTTCTGCACACAGTCTTTCCCAACAGTTTCTTCATCCAAGATCTCTTGTCCCTGTGAAGCTGTTAGGGTGGGCTGCTCTTCTTTGGATTTTGTGCTGTCTTCCATTTTGAGGATGAAAGAGAGGATCCAACTGCCAAACTGAGGCTCAGAAACCCCAGGTGGAAGTCCTTGGTCCAGTCTGATGGGCCAAACCAGCTGAGGTGGTGGAGAAGAGATTTCTCCGAGAACAGGTCCTTGAGTTTTGTTGTCGGACAAGTGGGCTGTCCTTGCCACCCCAAAGGGCATATGAACCATCCTTGTGAAGCCACACATCTGCAGACAGCACTACTTCACCTAGCTAGACACTGTGCACACATTCAGACCAATTCTTTCCTCCTCATGAACCAGGAGGGCTTAATCACACTTGCTAAAATTACTCGCTTTGGTCTGAATTCCATGCTGTGTAAACAACGGTATTTCTTCTTTTGGTGCTGCATGAAAAGAAGAAAATGTCTCCAGATTAAGGTATTCCACTTAGCACGTGGTTCTAGCTGTGTGTCAGAGGGCAGTGCTGGATTTGTGGTCACCTGCCACGTGCTGTGAAGACCAAGAGCTCTGGGAGCATGGCTGGGATAGACTTTGAGGTTGCTGTTTCTAAAACGTTGAATTACCACCCAAAATTTCCACTGGCTGTTGAGACATTAAAACTAGTGAGGATATGTACAGTAACCTACTTCACAGGCTGTGTCTGTACTAGCCTGTTAAATTGGCAGGTCACAGGCCCAGCACGAGAACTTACAAAGTTGGATAGTGCCTCACCCTGTCTGTTTGCAACCAAACAGACTTGTGAAATGTTTGGTTTAGTTGTAGCTATGGGCGTGTGGTTGGTAACTCGCTCATACACACACATGCTCATACGCACACCCACATCAGTATACGTATTTCATAGAATCATAGAATGTTCTGGGTTGGAAGGGACCTTTAGAGGTCATCTAGCCCAACCCCCCTGCAGTGAGCAGAGACATCTTCAATCAGATCAGGTTGCTCAGAGCGCTGTCCGACCTGGCCTTAAATGTTTCCAGGGATGAGGTATCTACCACCTCTCTGGGAATCCTGTTCCAGTGTTTCACCACCCTCATTGCAAAAAATTTCTTCCTTACATCTAGTCTAAATGTACCGTCCTTTAGTTTAAAACCATTTCTCCTTGTCCTGTCGCTACAGGCCTTAGTAAAAAGTCTGTCCCCATCTTTGCAGACAAACATTTCACCACAACCACAGCTTTACTTTTTAAAAATTTTTTTACTTTTTCTTTTTTTTTCAGAAATTGTCTCCCTAAACTTTTCAGTTACAGAATTCAGCATTTTTGGTGAAAAACACTTTTTTTTTTTCCCTTCTGCAACAAGAAAATAAACAAACAAAAACATACAGAAAAAATACTATAAGAAAACACTTTCAACAACAAAGCAAACAAAGAATGACAAATTTGGCCACTTGAAAAAAAATCCACACATTTTCCAAGGAAAATATCACTTAACGTACTGGTTTCCTTTTAGCAAAATTTTAGGAAGAAGAAAAAAAATCAACTCCCTGACTAGTGCTGTCCAAAGCTCAAAATACAAGGGGTTGAAAGCCCACAGGAAACCTTCAGAGATAAAGGTCACCTTCCTGAAGGGAATCAAATTTCAAGTAGGTAAAAGATTTATGGTGCTCTGCACTCTTGCAAGGATTTAGTAAATGTTTTTCTCAGTTCTCTCCATAGCTTACACTGTTCTCTGCAGACTACCCATGTTTTATACTATGCATTCCCATGCAATTTCCAAAGTCCAAATTTAAATTCCATTTCTTGAGATCAGTAATGAAGGAACCATCTAATTTTCCTGGAAAAAAACCTGTGTAGATGATGAGCACAGCATCTGCCTATGGACACCGGTTGGCTGTGGACAGTCACCAACATGTACATACTAACCTTGTGGGAAAGCGTGTGTAAGGGCTGGCTTATTTGCTTTCCTTGCAGTCACAGAATCACAGAATCACAGAATGGAGGGGGTTGCAAGGGAACTCTGGGGATCGTCTAGTCCAAGCCCCCTACCAAAGCAGGGCCACCTGTAGCAGGTTGCCCAGGACCTCGTCCAGGTGGGTCTCGAATATCTCCAGAGAAGGAGACTCCACAACCTCCCTGGGCAGCCTGTTTCCAGGGCTCCGTCACCCTCAGAGGGAAGAAGTTCTTCCTCATGTTCAGCTGGAACTTCCTCTGCTTTAGTTTGTGCCCATTGCCCCTTGTCCTGTTGCTGGGCACCGCTGGAAAGAGTCTGGCCACATCCTCCTGACACCCACCCTTAGGATATTTATAGACATTTATAAGATCCCCTCTCAGTCTTTTTGCAGCCATTTGAAGGACAGCTTTCTGATCTCCAACAGAGCAGCAGTGGCGTTGTGTTACCTCAGACTGAGCAATGCTACTTTGATATATCACTGTTTTAACACAGCAGCCTTCTGGCGTGCTGAAGCATGTCAGCAGGGCAAGTTCAGTGAGGGTGGCATAGAGGAAAATATGGTAGGGGTAGATCCTAGGGCCCTGATAAGACACAAGGTTTGTGGGGAGCAAAGAAGTTCAGGATAGGGGCTGAAAGAAGGAATTACCAGCAATATAGGGGAGTGCTGCCTCTTTCAAAAATGCTTTAGAAGATGCCCTGCCTAACTCACAGCAGGCAATGTTTTAGCTATCACTGAGCTGTGTAAGTGGACTCAAAGCTGTATTTAATCACCGAGGTGTTTTAGCCCACAGCCAGCCAGAAAGCATCCTAGATTGTGCTTACATTGGGAACAAAGCTTCTGCAGGGCATAAGGGCATCTTCACAAGACAGTTTGCAACATCCTCTGACCCAGGTCCTTTCTGCAGTGCATCAAAGGAGCCAGGCTGCAACTGCTCTTCCAGAGCTTCTTGTTGAGGTCCTGGATGCTCTTTTTCTTTATGCCTTCCTCCTCCAAGTCCCCAGCAAACCACAGGATCTCCTGTGTCAACGTCAGCTTTGGCAAAGGAGGAAACCAGGGTGGGAGATCCCAGCGATGACAGGGACAGTTTTTGTTCCGAGGATTCCACCCAGAGGACCATTTGGCAGCCTATTTGCTCCTTGGACACCTTCAGGAGCATCTGGGCTTTAAATATTCTTTTTTTTTTTCAGATTTTTCCCCTCTTCCTCTAGCTTTTCCCCTTTGTAGAGATATCTGTTTGGCTTTGTCAGGACAGCCTGATATTGTCCGTAAGAGGAAAGCCAAGACAAAAGTGGCCGCAAGCAGACCCCAAGGGAGGCATCCAAGCAGGGCAAGCACTTGTAATACCCTCCTCCAGACATTCTCCAGCTTCCAGTTATTCTCAGTGGTTTGTCTAGCTAGTAGCCTCCAAGGGATTTCTCTTTTCAATACTTGTCTTCTAAGGTATGAGACCAGACGTCTCAAGTGGAGACACGACCTCTTAAGCATTCATATTTAATAACACTTATTTTTTAACTCCATGAAAGCATGCTGGAAAGTGGGTTCTCTTTACCAAAGAGAGGGGAAAAGGTTTAATCAGGGCAGACTCCAGGAGGATGACTATTAGGCAGAGATCCCAGCTATGTGGACATGTGTATGTTACAGCTTCATCTTTAACCTCTGCTCTCATGAAGCCAGCTGGGAGATGAGGCTGGAATTAACCTTTCTCTGCTGCAGGACACCCACAGCTATCTGCTTACTGGAAAGTTTTCTTTTTCCTTTTTTTTTTTTTTTAATTATAGTGATTTCATGCAGCTGTTGGCATCTTCCTGCTCCTCCTGTTAACAAGAGATTTGTAAGGAGGGTCTCTTTTCAGGAAGGCAGCTGTTTTTTCTCATTCCTTTGCTTAATTAGGATGTGAGCTTCTGCTACAAAAGACGTCAGAAGTCACATTGGACTCTCCGTGTTGAGGAGTCATCTGAATTAGAGGTCTACAGGGAAAACAAGTGATGCTAGATTCTGCTCAACAGTTAGGATTTGCATGGCACAGCCAGCTAGCATTTGTTGGATATTGCAGCAGTTTGTTATACACAGAGATGTGTTATTTGCCATTTTATCTGCATTCACAGAGGTGGCTGTGACATTGGCTTGGACATTTACCATCCTTGGAGGTAAGCACCCAAAACATGATCTGGATCTAACCATCCCCATAGACTTGTTGTTGGTATCTGAGCTTAAATGTGGAACAATGGACAATAAAACCAGACAAACAAAGCTATGAGATGAGATTCTTCCTTCATTTTAAAATAATGTAAAGTCTTCCTATTGTCTTCTGCATTAGGGCCTGTGATGCTGCAGCTCTTCAGAGCTTGCTGGACTCCTTAGGGCCCCATTTGTAGGAGAACAGTGACAGCAGCAAGAAGGAAAGATATCCTTTTACAGTCAGCTGAAAAATACAAGCACAGGGCTGATGCAGAGGCAATGTCTGGACCACATTTTAAACTAAAAGTATACCCTGAGCTCAAGAAAAAATTCGCCTTGTGTTGCCCATTGGGTTGGCAGGAGCAGAACATGGTCAGTGCTACCAGCAGTGCATCATGAACACTGAGAAAGAGAGAACTGAGGTAGGAATCAGAGAGGTGGTGTTTCCAGCAAGTTCTGATGCACTTTGTTAGTGTTTGTTGTTCTTCTTCAGCCACTGGGACTGTTGCATGAGGTTCTTGGGCTTTGTCTGTAAAGAAAGAAGAACTTGTAGGAACAAGACATTGAAATGAATGTAGCATTAGATTCTACAACCCAGTGAAGTCAAAGTTTTACTTATTTTGAATGCTGACTATTCAATGGTTTCAGAACCACACAGTACTTTTTCCCATTGTCTCCTCACTGTGCTGAGAACAGAGATGGAGGATGTGTGGGAAAAGAGGAGAAAAACCTGTCTTTGCTTAGCTTCTTTGGCCTGGTCCACACCCCACCATTCTTTTGGACATGCTTGTATTCCTGGTGCTCTTGTTCATCTGGGGCTTCACTGTCCTTGAAGGCATTTGCTGCTGGGATGCATATTTACCCCTGAGTCGTGATCCCCCACCAGCAATAGCTAGTCCAGGAAGTGTATTCCGAGTTGTGTGACACAGCCGTGGCCCCAGTTCAAATTTCTGTGCTCTTTCTTTCCTGTGTCCGCATGGCCTTTGGAAACAGTCTTGCTGGCACATTTTAGCTGTACTTTTCGTGACTCTGCTTTTGAAAATTGTTTCCATTGTCAAAAAACAGTTTAGTTTCAGAAACATGGAGACCATTATTGTCATTGGGTGAAAAAGCACTTGACTGCTTTTGAAAAGTGGCCAGGG